ATTCCACAGCCACATGCCTTAAAATTGTCAAGGTTGAGAAACACTGACCTAGGAGAAGGTTTTGTAAATAACCATCTGCAAGTTCCTCCCATATTAGTAATAATATCCACCTCCACACTATTTCAGCTTTAATCTAATAGGAGATAAATTGGTTCACACTGGAAAATACTTCCATTACTGAAATTCTTACCACATTATTTTCTTCATTTTCTTCAATTTTCTTAAGGAAGAACACTGTGGAAATTCTTGCTTTACAAGATTTATATACATTTTGAGGCAGCTGCCAAAGAACCTTACTTCCCACTTCTAAGTAATGAAATAAAGCTGCTGCATTGCTTTATTTTGAGTCACTTATGGGACTTCTTGCAGTAGCCAGAAGGAGTATCTGTCTATCCATCAATCTCTTTTGGCAGTCCCAATGAACTACTTAATGAATACTGGAATAATCACTGGAGGTGCTGAAGCCTTAGTGAGAGAAATCATGTCATTACTGCATCAACTCTGCAACATATAATGCCTTGTTCAGACAATATCGATTCGATCATGTGAAGTATTGATGATCATGTGAAGTATTAATACCACTTTACAGTGCCTTAGTAAGGCCATACTTGGAATACTGCATCCAGTTTTGGTCACCACAATGTAAAAAAGATGTTGAGACTCTAGAAAGAGTACAGAGAAGAGCAACAAAGATGATTAGGGGACTGGAGGCTAAAACATATAAGGAACAGTTGCTGGAATTGGGAATGTCTAGTTTAAAGAAGGGGACAAGGGGTCACATGACAGCAGTTTTCCAATATCTCAGGGGTTGCCACAAAGAAGAGGGAGTCAAGCTATTTTCCAAAGCTCCTGAAGGCAGGACAAGAAGCAACGGATGGAAACTAATCAAAGAGAGAAGAACCTAGAACTAAGGAGAAACTTCCTGACAGTTAGAACAATTAACCAGTGGAACAATCTGCCTCCAGAAGTGGTGAATGCTCCAACACTGGGAGTTTTTAAGAAGAGACTGGACAGCTATTTGTCTGAAATGGTATAGGGTTTCATGCCTGAGCAGTGGGTTGGACTAGATGACCTCCAAGGTCCCTTCCAACATCATCATCATTATTATTATTATTATTATTATTATTATTATTTGTAGATGGATCACACAGGTCTAGAAAGCATGAGAATGAGGGTTTTCTTGTATTTATGTGCTTCAGGTTGGTAGCTACTGTAGAGAGTCACTGTGGAAAGAAAATGCTGGAGTAGAGGGTGCTGTGTCTGATCCAGCTTGGTTCTTCTGTTCCTGTGGTCACAAGAATAGTCCTTGCTACATCAGATTAAAGACATTTCTAGTTGGAAACTTATAGGTTGCCAAAATGAGAATATTGATTTTTTTTAGAACTAGATCACCCAGTAAAACCCCAAAGCCCCATAGCTTGTATGATCTCCAGATTCAAAGCTACATATGACTTTATCCTTAAAAATATAAATGTTGTTTTTTTTCTCCCTGCAGACATTATGGATAAATCTAGGTGTTGAATTCAATGCACACAGACTCTTTCACTTATTCAATTTACATCCTTATCTTTCTCCAAGAGTTCAAGAGGACAGACATACTTATTTACTTATACTTCCACAACAATAAGAGCCCTGTGGGCCAACACCAACTTTCCCTTCCAACTTAAAAACTTTAGCCAACATGAAGTACTGGCTCCATTTTAATATTTGAAGGGAAGAAGAAGAAGAAGAAGAAGAAGAAGAAGAAGAAGAAGAAGAAGAAGAAGAAGAAGAAGAAGAAGAAGAAGAAGAAGAAGAAGAAGAAGAAGAAGAAGAAGAAGAAGAAGAAGAAGAAGAAGAAGAAGAATACTCTGTTGCTGGTAAGTGATGAAGAATGAAATATCAGAAAGAGTAAGGGCAGTGGGAAGTTGGGGGAGAGAAAAAATTAGGAGAGGAAAGATCCAAAAGTAGGCATTGGGATGGGACTTCCAGAATATTTTGCTAAGGGGTGCCGTTCAAAAACTGAATAAAACTTTAAGCAATCCCTCCCTAGCTATTGGTTTTGAATAATTTCATCAATAAGTTCATCTACAATATTACCCTTTTTAAAGGGTAATCTGAATCTAGGGGAATGTGGAACCTTCTGTATTGGGGCTGGGTAGAGGTCTGGATTTAAAGGACAAATATGATTCAAAGTGCATATGAATATCCATGCGGTGCCTCTCAGGAACACATAAAACCAAACATCTATAGCAGTGGTTCTCAACCTTCCCAATGCCGCGACCCCAACCATGTGGTCGTAAGTTGAGGACTACCTGTATTTCCCTGCGGGCGGGATAGGAGGAGGCGCACACGCTTCGCCTCCTCTCCTGCGGCTGCATATGGTCCATTGCCCAGCAACCGTCTCAGCCCGGGAGCACCGCGCATGCATGGTGCTGCCCCCTGCGCCGGCCGAGGCATAGATGGCAAGCGGCAGTGACGGCGCAGGCCGACCACCGGCTGGGCCACCAGCTGGCCCAGCCCAAGGGAGGTAAGGCACCCGCCGGGCCCCACACGTGCCAGCAACCTCCCTGCGCCTGCCGCTGCCCCGCTAGCCTTACCTTGGCCACTGCACATTCGGTGTAGCGGCAGACAGGCCCAGGTGCTCCTGGGCAGCCATGGCACGTGGCAGCGAGGGCGCAGGGCGACCACTGGCTGGGCCACCAGCTGACCCAGCCCAAGGCAGGTAAGCCACCCGCCAGGCCCCACGCGCACCAACAACCCTCCCTGCACCCACCGGCCTCCCACCTCCCACCCCTGGCCCTCTTTTACTTACTTTTAGTAGTTGCTCAGCAGGGAGGGAAGCTTTCCAGAAAGTTCACCTTGCAGCACCGTTTGCAGACTAGGGCTTTTGGCGGGCTCAGCAGGGCAGAGACAGCCTGGACAATTCCTATTGGCTTTTGAAAGCCAATAGAATTAGACTATGTTCAAGAGAATCTATTCTATTGGCTTTCGAAAGCCAATAGATTCTATTGGCTTTCGAATGCCAATAGAATAGAGTCTCTTGAATAGAGTCTATTCTATTGGCTTTCAAAAGCCAATAGAATAAGAGGGAGTAGCACAGCTAAGGAAAAGGGGGAAAAAATGGCGGACTGCATTGTTTGGCGACCTCCGTGAAATGGTCGTTCGACCCCAAATGGGGTCGCGACCCACAGGTTGAGAACCGCTGATCTATAGAGTTTGCAAAACATCTTTAAAGGCAAACTACATGAACCCAAGAAAGGGCATAACTACCTTGAAGTGTTCCTAATATATCCTATATGTTTACTTGTGTGACTCTACCTGGCCTTATTTTGCACAATCAGGTTAGAAAACCCATGCAGGTAATCTAGTTCCATTGCTTAATATGTGTAAAATGTCAGGTACGTGCGCTTTGCCTTGCCTTGGCTATATATCAACAAAAGTTGATATAAAACAAGCAAAACAATGCAATATTTTTCTCTGTGCTTACACAAACTAATATTGTACGTTAACTCAAAAAAATACATATGAGCAGGAATTGGAGCAACTACACAATTCACATCAAATATTCTAATAATACTTTTCTTGAAATAAGTACTTGATGCAAATTACAACCACTTTCCATTATAATGCATACTGTGTGTGAAGCATGCAATTGCCTTAGAATATAATTGCAAATGTAAATGATTGGATCATAAGCACTGTTTATTTAATAAGGAGTTTGGAGGAAGCTGTGCATTGAACTATTTAGTTATCAGATTTACACTATATATTTGCCCATCAGAAATAAGTGATTACAGGTGGTATATAACAAAGCTAAAACACGGTCAATAAACATCCCAAAAAATTATATGTAGGAAATATACAGTTAGATTCACAATCTAAGACTGGTGGAAACTATAATTAAAGTCCTAATCAAGGTCCTAAGAACTATCAAGTATCTAAGAATATATAGGCAGTTCTAAAAAATTTTGTAAAATCAGGCTGTTCAGGTCTGATAAATTCAACTTTCTAGATATTGAAGTATCACTTTATTATTATCATGGTTAATTGTCAGTCATCAGGATGTTTAGATTGGATTTGATGTTTTTATCCACCTACCAAGTCCTTCCCAAGAACCTGGGATGGGTAGATGTTAATGTTTGATGGTACCAGAAGTCTCATTGCAGTATGTAAGCTGTTTTGAGTAAAGCTGCCTTTTGCAATTGACCGATGGTGAGTTTGTCAATGCCAATGGTATTTTAAGAGGTGCTCCAGTTGTTTTGGGATTGCATCCAAGGCGCCTATACTTTTGGTACTACCTTTGATTTCTTTTGCCATGGTCATTGACTTTAGAAGGCAAATGAGATCCAGGCAGAAGGAGAACATCATGGCTTCAAAATCTAAGCAACTGGTTTGGACAAAACTCAGCAGCACTTTTTCGTGCGGCTGCTGATAAAAACAGGATCGCCAACATGATCGCCAATGTCTGATAACGGATATGGAAGAAGAAGAAGAAGAAGAAGAAGAAGAAGAAGAAGAAGAAGAAGAAGAAGAAGAAGAAGAAGAAGAAGAAGAAGAAGAAGAAGAAGAAGAAGAAGAAGAAGAAGAAGAAGAAGAAGAAGATTGACTTTAGAATTCAAACATACATGCATCAGTCAATTTACTGGAAAATTCTGTCCTCCTACATTTCCTTACTTCCCTCCTCACCATTTCCTGTTCAGAGAACCATATCGCTCTACCAAATAGTGGGATTGGGCTAGCCAAATGCAAGAAAGGTAAATGAAAGAATAACCAAGACTAATTAATTCAATTGTGAAGAAAGATCAAAATAGATCCATGTTTCTCAAACTTGGAAACTTTAAGACACATGGATTTCATCTTTCAAAATTCACCATCTAGCATGAATTCTGGTAGTCAAAGTCCAGATGTCTTAAAGTTGCTGAGAAACACTGAAATAGAGTAATTTGTCTTTAACATTTAATACACAAACCTAAAAAGCAGAGATAAACTGCACACATATATACAATATATTTGCTTACCCAAATCTGTAGCTTAATTCTTTTTTCATTTTTGAAGACTGTTTTCACTTTGAAATCGATCCCAACAGTGCTTACAAAAGCTGAAGTAAAAGAATCATCAGCATAACGGAATAAGAAGGACGTTTTTCCAACGCTGCTGTTACCAATGATGAGCAGTTTGAACATATAATCAAAGTTCTGATCCGATGTTTCCTTTTGGCCATACCGGGTATCTTGCACAGATGCCATCTGTAGATTGCATATGAGGAAAGAGAGAGACTTTTTTTTAAAAAAAATTAAATGTTATGTTTGCTCCATGTAATTCTAAAATGCTTACATTTTCACCAGCCTTCTCAGCACTAAGTGCCCGAGTATTTGGGTAGAAATTGAAGGCGCTCTTAAGATATTCAAATAACCCAGATGATCATAGTGAATATTTTGATTTCAGAAAATCAGTGGCAACCTTCCCCTCCACAAGGGAGCAGTGCTAATTAATTCTGTTACCTGAATGCCAAAATAGTGTATAATCACAGAAGTGTTTTTAAACATTCCTAAAATAGCAACACAACCATCAAAATCAATTGCTATGAAAAGGAGAACAATTCTAGTGCCTATGCCAAAGAAGATGAAATGACAAAGCAATTGAAAAAGCAGGAAAAAAAATCTTGCTTAGTTTTGTGAATTTTCTCCATTCCATCTTGTTGCATTATAATCTTGTTATATCAAATTGATATTCTGCCTTCCCCTCCACAAACTTAAAATGGCATACATAGCATAATTTGTGTGTCTATGTGTGTGTGTGTAGGTGGCTTTGAGTAATGTTTGAGGTTATCTTAAAAGTAGGCAAGGACAGGAGGGTGGGTCAATAGCTATATATGGCTTAATTTCAATTGGAGTACAATTGCATTTTATTCATTTGTTATTTTTTTTACTTTTAGTTTATATGCCTTTCTATTTCCAAAGACACTGAATGGTATATAAATAGAAATAAATGAATAAATAAATAAATAACACGTTATAGCTACTGTTGATACACTTAATAAAGATATGGAATGTGTTCAAAAGAACTTCATGAAGAATTATATTCAGGAAATTGTTACCAAATGCAAAAAAATAGAAGAATAGCTGCCATCATTAAATGAGTCTTTCTAATAGATTGCCTCTGGATATTTAGGGTTTAAATTTATGTACATATGTATAAATACATACATCTGCCAGGATAAAAGATTTTGACTTTTAACTTAGCCAGTAGGAACATCAAAGAATATATTTTGATGTGACCTTGCTGAATGTTCACCCAGCTTTGGTTAATTCCTGCCATTGTTGAACTTATACCCTAAATATGTAAATGTATGCTCTGCTGAAAAAAACCTTAATAATTCTTCACTACAATGGAAAATAATTTGGTTTTATATTTTTTAAAAAACAGTAAAACATTGTGGTAAACTCTAATTCAAGGCTGACTGGGAAATTCAGGGAGTTGAAGTCTAGATATCTTAGTTGCTAAGGTTGAGAAACACTGTTCTAATTGATAGTATGTAGAGTTCTTGCACTTGCTATAAGTGTCAGATGTCCTCCTGTCTTTTATTATTAATTTTTTTCAATGATGATCTATATCTTCTCTGGCTTCCCACATTTCAATCAATAGTCCTAAGTGAAAACATAATAAGGAACACCTCCCATGGTGCCTTTTCAGTTGAGGAATATGGGCAATCAGGGAATTTGATCTTACATTAAGAGTGTACAAGCTAGATTGAATCCAACATGAAATGTCAGTCTGACCTGACAGTTCAGAAGCCTGTTTGAAGTATTGAAGCAGAAAGTTTGCTTTCTAAATCAAATGCATCAGTTATCCAGCTAATATTATACCAATGAGAACTGGTATAGCAATATTGGATGATTTCTTTGCTTTGCACAAATGCCAGGGAAGACTCCAATAGTGGGGGCTAGGTAATTAAAGAATAGGTCTGCCATGGTATGGAAATATAGGGTCATAAAAAAGGTAGTTGGCTGCCCAGTGGTTTGGATTTAATCCAAGGCCTGTGGACCACATTAGTGTGTGAGCATAGCTCCTGTCAGCCTGCAAGACTCTAAAACAGCTGTATCTTTTAGCAGAATCATATGGCAACTACTTTAAAGAGTTTCAATCTGGGGCTACATTGCTCTCTGAAGCAGCAGACTGAACTGAACCTGAAACAGAGTATAGCTGTAGAAAACACAACCATTGAAAAGGGTAGGTGGAATTTATGAGTTGGACTTTAGAAAACATATTAACTTAAAATCATTCATATCCTTCTTTCTTCCATGTAGCCCTAGGAGCCATATTTTATTCCTTACTCTCATTTTATCTTCATGGCAACCCTTGGAAAATAGTTGGACTACATGGATGCAACTGACTTAAACTTGCCTACACCAATGAAGATTTGAACCTAGATCTCTTCATTTCCAATCTGACAGAAAGCCAATAGAATATCCCTGCACTTATGGGAATAAATAGCTGATGGTGATATGAAGTATCTTGTTCTTAGCCTTTAAGCCCAGACTTTGAGTTTTCTGCTATTACAATATGAATGCTACAACAGAAAGCACAATTTCAAGGTGGTGATATTTTTCAAGTGCTGTTGAGTTTTTCAGTCCTTCTGTGTGTAATTGATCCTCTCTGCCTCCTTTTTGAAAACAGTTCTTAACTGGTAATATCTGCTTTCACTGTTGTGAAATTGGGATGCTTGTCTTTTATTTGTAGACAAATGCATTGCAAAGTACTTTAAAGAATGGGATTTCAGTTCTCTCTCTCTCTCTCTCTCTCTCTCACACACACACACACACACACACACACACACACACACACACACACACACGTCAGAGCATGCACAATCTTATTGTGCTGAGATAACCCAGGAGTAAACACAATAAACAGTGGTCTATATTAAATGGTGGTTTACATTACACTAAATACAATATCATACACCAGGAACAATGTATGTACATGTGCTAATACAGCAGGATCACAATTACAGCAGGAAACAGAAGAGAGGACACATCTGCGAAGTCTTCCCTTTTATACAGAGCTCTTAAACAGATACAGACTCTGCTTACTCTTAAAGAGACACAGACACTGCTCAGTCATTTCCATCATTACATCTTACATTACATCAGCTGGTTAGCTTTTAAATCATTACTTTGACACACATAATCAAGATTCACTACATGAAATACACTCCCACACATTTCTTTCATGGGATGTAACTACAGTATTCCCATCTTAAAGGTCTGTTTGGTGTTCACTTGCTTTCTCCCAATGATTAACAGCTGTGTTGGGAATAACAGGGTGGAACTGATTTCCAATAATAAGCATTAACTATAACTTTACCTCTTTGAATGATGTTGTTTGGACTGTTATACAAATGGACAGAAACTGACTGTACACAAATATGGATGATTGGATGATTATCTATAAAATTATTTCTAGGGTTCTAAGGTTGAAGACACAATCAGAATCTAGAAGGGATATTTCAGGAAGTCACAGAGAATAGTTTTCATTGAGGTAGTTAGAATGGCCTGTCCATTAAGTGACTTACATGCTGGATATGACTAGCCATTAAACAAATAGTTATCAGCATGGTCAGTTGATCCCTTTTCTAGATCCCAGAAAGGTTCCATATCTCTCAGCTTCTTTTTCAATGCTGGAGAAGTGGCAATACTTTGAATGTGGTCACCAATTATTTTGTTTTGGGATTCATTGAGGACCTAGAAGTTTCTTTGTTAATGCTTTGGTCTGTCACATGCCATGTTCCAGGTTTTTATTTATAATTAAAAGATTCTTTCAAAAAAGATTTTTAAAAAAGATGAGACAAATGTCTTGAAGAGCATCAAAAAGATGCTCAAGCCATCATATTACATAATCTTCATAAAGGTTGTGTTAAGCAGGTAAAGAATGATTCCTTGAAACTCTATTGCATGCAAGCAGAGGTAGTTATGGTAAAATTAACTTCATAATTAAGTATACAGATAGTCCTCAATTTATGACACTTGAGCACAAAATTTCTGTTAAGTGAGACATTTGTTAAGTGAGTTCTGCCCCATTTTATGACCTTTCTTGCCACAGTTGTTAAGTGAATCACTGCAGTTGATAAGTTAGTAACCCGGCTGTTAATGAATCTGGCTTCCCCATTGCCTTTGCTTGTCAGAAGGTTGCAAAAGTTGATCACATGATCATGGGACACAGCAACCGTCATAAATATGAACCAGTTGCCAAGCATTGGAATTTGGTCACATGATCATGGGGATGCTGCAAAGATTGTAACTGTGAAAAACAGTCATAAATCACATTTTTCAGTGTCTTTATAACTTTGAACGGTCACTAAATGAACTTTTATAAGTCAAGGACTACATGTATTGCATTATACCACTGTATATCTTCTGCAGTGAGAGATACTTTCCTGCTTATTGATTGCTTTCCAGTTCAATTCTGCATGATGGTTTAAACCTTTAAAGCTTTGATCTGCCTGGTAAGTAATAACAAGGGAGACAATTTGCCTCATTATCATTTTGCCTGGATGTTGAGACCTGTAGCTAAAACTCTCTGTATAATAAACCCATGTGCAAGGCTTTTCAGTTTAAGTCTGAAAGGGTAGTTTCTATACATTCTTGAATTGTTTTTTCTCAGACTATTATGATTGACCACACAATCAGGAAGATGTTTAGACTGGATTTGGCATTTTTGTCCAAATATCAAGTTCTTTTCAAAGACCTGGGAGAGGTAGGTGTTGTTATTCAATAATATTAAAGGTATTGTTGTAGGATGTAAGTTATTCCAAGGAAAGCTACTTTTGCAATTGACTGGTGGTGATGTTACCAATGCCAATGGTGGTTAAAGTGGTGCACCCAAAACAACCTAATACTATTGGTTCTATCTTTGCTTTCTTTTGCCACAGTTCTACTTCTACTTGCATGTCTTTATATTTTTTCCAATTCTTTCTCTTCTATTCTGCTGTTTTCTGGTAGTATGATGTTCACTATCTAGACTTTTGTTTTTCTTATCGACAATTGTTAAGTCTGGGGTGTTATGTGGCAGGTGCCTGTCAGTTGGAATTCTAAGGTCCCAGAGCAATTTAGCAACATTTTTTTCTTTTTTCTTGTAGATCCTTAATTTGAGGTAGAGTTGGGATGACTGGATGGAACTAAGCATGTAATGGTCAGATGTCTTTCCTGTTGCCTATGTGAAGTTTGCAGCAGATATTTTTTCTTTA